CCTGTTTTATTGTGTTAATGTTGTCATTGTGAGCTAAAAATAAATGGCTAAATGATCATTTGTTTCACATGTGTTCATATCACAAAGAATAGAATATGCATCTGCTTAAATCAAATTCAAGTCAAAAAATAATTTCACACACAAAAAAAGAGCTAGAAAATTCACCACAGTGGGAAGGGTAAAGACAACTGGGTCGCCCGGCCCTGGCCACGAGGTGTCCCTTATTTATTTTTCAGGGAGTTGGCAACCCTAGTTACGGTACTCTTTGGCTGTGTTGCTTGCTTTATAACACTTTCTTGGGGACTAAGAGAGACGCTGATGCAAGGGACTCTGCAACAAGAATAATCTCCACAGCTGGGTGCAATTTTGCAGTATGATAATGCACGCTGAAAACATTCATGAGTTTGGTTTCAATTTAACCTAACATTCCCACCTAAAGGTTTGTATGTGATGAACAGTATTAAGTGAAATCTGACAAATCGTTGTTGTGTGTTGCGTAGGGACGCATCTCTGATGGCCATGAGGCGAAGGATCGAAGGCCTCACTCCAGAGGAGATCCGCAACATTTCCCGGGATGAGATGCACATGCCCACCACCATGGAGGACTTTGAGTCCGCTTTGAGGAAAGTGTCCAAATCAGTTTCTGCAGCTGACCTGGAAAAGTATGAAAAGTGGATCGAGGAGTTTGGCTCCTGCTGATGAAACTTTAAGTGTAGTGTAAGGTTTTGTGTTCCTGCTAACTGAAATGTTTTCTTGGAGAAATGTGTCAGCTCTGGTGTATCGAGCTGCAAGTACATTTCTGAATCAGCAGGCAGGTTTATTACAAACGTAATTGCACTTGAAAAGTGGTAACTCTTGTACATGTTGTTGCTATGCAAACCTTTTCATCTCAGTGAGTGTCGAAAGAAGAACAACTCGGAGCTGATTGTTGATACAATTCATTTTTGGACTTAATCATTTTAGTTGACTGGTCCTGAACATGTTGCCAAAATGTTAGACAAATCGGATATAGCTATTAGAAAAACTGACAAAACGTCGGCATTTCCTGAAATACACTAATAGTAAAAGGCCAAACATGTTATATTATTAGTTTATTCTCAGTGTCGTTTTATTGTCTTTGTGCTGGTGTATCTGTTGGATACAGAACCAGCCAATCAAATGTTGTTCCCTTTATTGTTGTTCTTTTCACTTTGCACTTGATTTTATTTTAAACCGTATGGATCTATAACATTTTTCTTATAAACATTAAACTAAGAAGCCATTTCTATATTGCGATACGTGCAAGTTTATTTATTGCTCACTATATCTGCTTAAAAAAAAATCTACACACAGATGAGTTCACACATTTAATTGCAACCAAAACAAACCTGTCCAAGTTCCCCTGTATCCTGCAAGCTCTGTTTCAGGTTTTCTATGCTTGGATCTGTATGTTACTGAGAGGGGGTGTCCTTAATAGAGTCCCGATCAAAAGTTTAAGACCACTTGAAAAATGGTAATAAATAAATAAATCATATTTTGCATGGTTGGATCTTAACAAGGTTCCAGGTAGAGCTTCACCCTCCAACAAGAAGAAATGAGAGTGAGACAAAACATTTTTTGAGCATGGAATTTATTGAAAAAAAATGCTTAAACTGAAACAGGCTGTTTTACAGCTGATCAAAAGTTTAGGACCACATGGCGCAAAAAAAAAAGGAGAAAAAAAAAAGAAGATTTTTTTGTTGTTTGTTTGTTTTGCCATTTTACAAGTTGTCTTAAACTTTTGATCTGGACTGAGTCTGTCACTCACACAGCTATGGCTCCACCTGCTGTTCAAACCTCCATGAGCTGTAGCTGGGTTAAAGGGAGTGGGGAGGGAGACTAATTTAAGGCGGCGTGTTTCAGATTGCTGAACTGAGCTCTTCCACAGTCTGAGGTACAGCCTGCTGGTGTTGGATAGACTGAAACCAAATGTCCCAGGGTGTTTTATTGGATTTGGGTCAGACGAGTCGGGGGGGGGGGCATTCAGTGGTAACAGTTAATTTATCCTCCAGGCAGTGGCAGAGCGGGGGGGTGGCTTACTGGGCTTAAGCCCGGGTTGTTTTTTCAGAAGCCCGGGGTCTTTTGGGGTGTAATTTTTTTTTCATAGTTAGATGCCTGACTGACAACTGTATAAAGCAAAAAACTACACACAATATTCGAAGCACACTGTGGGAATTTACGACTGTGCGTAAATCCCCCTAATATTGGTATGATCCGAGCTCAGGCAGTAAGCGGGGCGGGGCAGCTGCTGCGCTGTTGGAGAAACGGAGCTAGGCAGACAGAGAACTGAAGTTTGACCAGGTACCAAAGAAAATCATTCGTACTGTACAAATAATGTAAATATGACGGTGAATCACGAAAGATTGATATCAAACTGATCACTTGACCCATATTATGTTACTCGCTCTTCAAGTGAATCAACAAATGGCAAAATGAAAAGCCGAACAACAACAATGCTGTTTCTTTAGAGAGTCTCAGCTTACATGTGTGTTTATTTCATATTTTCAGTTGTTACCCTCCACGGCTAAATAAATCGGTTTCAGTAATGTACTGATATACAAGAATGGACATAAGGAGCGTCTTTCAAAGAAAAAACTCTGGTAGTATTTTATATATTATGCTTTGTATGTTGTTCAGTATATTTCTATGCAAAACATGAGGAACTTCAATACACAGCAGTATATTCACAGTTTAAACCAGATATTTACATACACTTTATGGAACACACAAGAACATTGTTTTTACTGTACAACATCAATTTAGAGTAAACTTGTTTTGGATAAATAAATATTGAAATATCTTTTGAATTAGTTAAATGTCAGAATAAAGAGAGACAGAGCTGTCTATTTTTTTTTAACACTTTCATCAAATTTAGGAGTACATGTACACTAAGTTTATTGTTAATTAATAAGAAAACTCCAGACGATTCCATTCTGAGCTGAAGAAGCTTCTGATAGGTTCGTAGAGTCCATGTGAGTAAATTGGTGGCACAGCTGTGGATGCATATAAGGCAAAACACAGAGCCTGTTTCTTTGACATGGGAAAATCAAGAGATGTCAACCAAAACACCAGGAAAAAGAACTGTGGAGCTCCATAAGTGTGGCTCAAGTTTGAATACAATTTGGTGCCATTTACAATTAAGAAATACAGATAGTTTCTCTCTTTACTCTTAAAGTTAACAAATATGTTTTTTATATTTATCAATCTAAAAAAAATAAACATTTAGTCTGATTTGATGTTACAATTAAAAAAGTGTTTGTGTTTTGATCTGAAGAGTAAATATCTGGTTTCAACTGTATATTTGATGATTGTCAGCACAAAGAGGGAGAGAGAGGAGAATGAGGACAGAACAGAGATGAACAAGAGCAGGTGAGACACACATGTTAGTCAAATGGTTGTTTACCAAAAGTATCACCGTATCATAGGTACTCATGTATCTCGTACCTAGTGTTTCTTTTTAGGTTTGCTATTTTTCAAATTCTACATTTATTAAGTTATGCAGGCTTGTTTGCACAACAAGGCTAAATAATTATATAAACTTTTCTCAATCTAAATAGTGGTACTTTGGTAGAATTAAAAAATAAGTGTAGTGCAGGTCTATGATGATTTTTAGTGCTACTATCATCTAGTTCTGATTCTGGTTCTGTCTTGGTTAAGTCCTCAGTAGTCCTGATTTTGAACTGTTGTAGTCCTGTTTTAATTCCGGATCAGTTCTGGGTCTGGTTGAATTGGGGTTTAGTCCCTGTGTCTTGATACAGCCCCGACTTTGTTCTGCCTTGCTGCTTAATTAAAAAACTAGTTTAAGGTGTCCTGCATATGTGATATATATTTTTCCCTATATGAAGTCATTCTTTTTTGAACAAAACTCAAAACAGAGCCTATTAATCTTTCAGTCATTTCTAAACCCCCCCCCCCCCAAAAAAAAAAAAAAAAATCCCACATGCATACTACCCTTTTGGGCTAAGCCCCGGGTGTTTCAAATGTCTGGCTCTGCCTGTGCCTCCAGGACCTGCCTGCATACTCTCACCACATGAAGCATTGTTGTAAACCAGGAGGACCTCAGGACCCACTGCACTAGTGTTGGGTCGTCCTAATACCTAATGGCAGTCAGGGTGCTGTTGCTCAACCTTTAGAGGTGTGTATGTATAGTCCTCCTCAGACCCTCACTGACCCACCATCACACTGGTCATGCTGAATGATGTTACAGGACGTATAACGTTCTCCGTAGCTTTTTGACACCCTTTCATGTCTGTCACATGTGCTCGCCTGTTCTAATCTGTGAAAGCACAACATGGCACTGGTCAACCTGCCATTTTTGGTATTCTATAGTAAATGCCATACAGGCTTCAATGTGCCAGGCAGTGAGCACAGGGCCCACTGAAGGATGTCAGGCCACCCTCATGAAGTCTGTTTCTGATTGTTTGGTCAGACACATTCACACCAGTGTGCTGCTGAAGGTTTTTTTTTTTTAATAGCTCTGGTAGTGCTCATCCGGTTCCTCCTTGCACAAAGGAGCCAATACCGGTCCTGCTGAGGGATGCAGAACCCTTTACAGCCCTATCCAGCTCTCATAGACTAACTGCCTGTCTCCTGGAATCACACAGCAAATCTGGCACTGGCATGTCTTGATGTGCCATCCTGGAGGAACTGGACTACCTATACATCCTCTGTAGGGTGCATGTATTACATCATTCCACCAGTAGTGTCAGTGACCACAGCTTAATGCAAAATTAGGGAAAACGGTCAGAAAATATGAGGGGAAAATGTCAGTGTCCTCCACCTGTAAAATGGAGCTACACTGAGTTTGCTTTTAGTTTTATGATTGTACTCTGAGCTCTTCCATGACGCTTGGTGTATAGGGGTGCATGGTCGCTCCGCAAGGTAGACATTACGTGCCAGTATAACACTTGATCATTAGTCTGTACAGTAACACAGTATGATCACCCAACATACAAAGACAATTATCAGACAATATATCCATGTGGTTGTAAGGAAAGCTTTTAATTAGCATGATTTCTGACCCAAATACACAGTCCAGCTGTAATTCATACAATGTATGCACACAGATGCCAAAAAAAGATATCACGCTGATGTATCAAAGACCAAATTAAAACATTTGTTGTTTAACTCTGAACCAACTAGGTGTTGCGTACAGCATTCTGTTGCACAACTTGAGGCAGATTCCAACACTGTTTTAAGTCATCATGCACTTTCCTATTTTTAATGGAAAACTTGTTGATGGAGCAGCAAACTCTACTCACTAGCTACACTATGCATGCACCTTTTCGTTGTACGCAGTATATCATGCATACTGCAGTTTAACTGAGCCCTAGGGAGAGAAAATCATGACATCACAAGCTGATCTTTTGGGATGTCTTTGAAGAAGCATGACCAATAGTAAAATAACACCCTCGCACATAAAAAAACAAACAAAAAAACCCAACGAAAAGAGAAAATGTGGTTTGTGAATTTATGATGAATGAAAACGCAGGTTTTTCACCGACAGCCTGTTGAGCCGTTTGATCCTTCACACCTAGAGCTGCCAAACATCAGAGAGGGCTGCACTGCAAAGCATGATTAAAGCTTCGCAAGGTCAACTAAACCTGCTGAACATTTAACCTGCTCTGGAGCAGGTAATGTTTGAGATCAGCACTTCCTCTGTTATGTGAACGCACACATGGATAGATGGGAAACTGGGGGTAACTTCTGCAGTTGATAACCACCTTTGTGTGACTGCTTAGCCAGATTGTGGCGTTGCTTAGCCCAAGTTCAGAAAAGAACAGCTACTTTGTAGCACAGGCCACTGAAGTGATAGTGAGGACATGCAGATTCGTTCTTTGAACAAGAATTGTGTTTCAGTCTTGGACTGTATCAGTCCGCTCGTAGTTTATATATAGAGAAGGTGCATAGACATTCTGAACAGCTTCACGGACATTCTACAATATTAGTAACAGGAAGCCACAAACAATACTGATTAAAGTAGACCACATAGTAATCCTTCTCATGATAGAATCCTTATAAAAAACAAAAACTGAGGCACAGTGAAAAAAAAAAAAGACAATTAACAGATGAACGTCAGTAATGTCGAGTCAAAGGAAGAAGTTTTGTAGTAGAGACAGAACAGAAACTCTGACGCAGTAATCTGCTTAGCTTTGTCTTTTTAGACATTTCAACAGATTTAAGCAAGTGTCTTTGCCTCTGTTTACTTTTAAATACATTTAATGCGTTTAGAGCTGTCTTCATTTTTTTCAGCTGTAGGTGAATGATTTTGGAGAAAAAAAAACAACAACACCCTCATATATATATATATATATATATATATATATATGCACGCACACACATACAGCAAACAAATGTGTGACCTGTAAAGAACTGCTACATACACAAAGTTTTGTTTAAGGGAACTCTGAAGTGTTTGGATCTGGTTCTAAAATTCTCAGTTTGTCCATATTTATAGGTTAACCCCACAGCATCTAGCTGAACTAAACAGGATAAATGGTCCATTTAGTAACACTTCTGAGGATGTAGACCATATCAAACTGCTTTGGTCTTGAGCTTTGGAGCAGATCTGATACAAAGGCTAAAGGTTATACTTTTGTGTAATACCAATTTGTACCACAAGATAGTGCAGTGAGCCAACCAGGCAAGTCATTAGGAGCACGTTCTTATCAACAATATCATACCGGGAAAAGCAAAGCTACTTGCGGAATCAGGGATATGGCAGAAATAGAATTACCAAATAGAAGTAAAGAAGCTTACATTCAAAAACATTTCTAAACACCCACTGATAAAACACTGCTCCCTGGTGGTGAAATTTCAATGACTTATGTTAATATAATCATTTGTATTTATGCCCTATACACTGTGTCTGCACAGCTCTGCCATCAGGAAACTGGGTTGATCACGTTAGCCTTGCAGCTAACAGTTAGTTTTACCGAAGCAAAGGAAAGAGAGTAAACTTTGAATGGTTTGAGTTTATATAAGAGCTGTTATGTCATGTTATTACCAAAAAGGCCTTTTCCAGTTTTTGTCCTGATGGACATTATAAATAATATTGAGAGGGTCTTACCATTCATTTAGATGGGAGCTTCAAAACACCTTCCTAAAGCACTGCCAACATGGGTGCCAGTTAGGAAGGGTTGCTTGTAGAAAGATTTTGGCAGCATGAAAGCTCATTTGCCCTCGTTTTCAGTCTTTAAAGAAATCTAAACAAGACCAGCAGCTGGAGAGCAGTATCAGTCTTTTCCTTTGACCTTCAATTAAAATGACTTAAAAAAAAACAACAAAAACGAAGTGTTTCTCAAAAAACAGAGCTTCAGCTCATCTGATAATCCCTTGAATCTTGGACATTGTTTTTGTTAACTGCATTACAGCTAAACATGTTTTGGGTGTGGGTAAAGCCAAAGTGGTCACTGTTGCAGATTCTCTGCATGATGTGCTGAAAGCAGATGCTGGTAAGGTAACCGTAAGCCTTCCATACTTTAATCTCATTGCATCATGACATTCAGCACCATAAATCTCTCACTTTACTCTCCATTCTGAGGGACTCGTATAAGCTAACATTAAATGAGCTTATGTTGGCTGATGAAAAGATTCACGAAGACCATGAAAGAGTAAAGTGACAGGAAAAGCTGTGGTGATTCACAGATCAGAACAAAACCGGGCCATGCGAAACCGCAGGTTAAACAACAAATAGGAACAAACTGGAGGAGCCGGTCAAGATGATCCTCATTCAAGGCTTCTTCTCTTCTTCCTCTGCTTCTACTTCTATGTTCTCCAGGAGATTGTGCTTCTCATCCTCTGGCATCACAGGGACAGAGTTTACATTAAAAATGCGCCTGTGAAACAGAAAATAAAGTTTGTTGGAAGTAATTACAGGGGGGGGTCAAAATTTTTGGGTCCCAAAAATGAAGCCGATGCAAAAAGAACTGTAGTTCATCTAATGACCACTTGAGGTCAGCACCAAAAATTCAGTTGAATTTTATTTATATAGCGTGCACAATCACAGTTGCCTCAAGGCGCTTTGTATTATAAGGTAAAGATCCTACAACAGAAAACCCCAACAATCATATGACCCCTATGAACAAGCGCTTTGGCAAAAGGGGGAAGAAAAAACACTCAGCAGAACCAGCCTCATCTGCCAGGAATTTTTCTGCAACTCAATAATTTGAATTTGAAAGTTTAAAGTTAGGAGGCAGTTCAAGAAGTTTGCTCTTCTCTTCTGGTGAGTGAAATTCTAGCATTACATTAAACTGTTAGCAATATGCATGTCTGTACATGAATATGAATGCTTCCTAACCAAGCTTGCATTCTTTAGCAACTCAGCACGCCACCCTTTCATCTAAATATGGTGACTCCCACCTCCAGAAAACAAATATGGCGGCAGCCAAAGAGTAAAGAAACCAATAGGTGACAACAGCTACATTCATCTTGTATCTATGCAACAAACTCACTTATGTTCACAAATTGGGAAAAACACATCTAAGATCTTGACGATGACGGCTGATCCGACCACGCCGATCACGACCACCCACATGACCAGGAAGAAGAGAGGCAGGGATTCGGAACAGAAGCGCCGCAGACGCTCCCTGGCTTGCTCTACCCACTGACACATGGCCTGGGGAGACATTGTTAATTGTTGTGGAAGAAATTTTCAAACAATGTGCTCACTTTGTGAAGACTAGAAGTGTCAAAATTGAGGAAATGATGTGCTTTTAACTGCTGGATTGCAGGATTTCTTTTTGTATAGCTAACTTTGTGTAGTTTGTGATGGAAATAACTCAATATTTTCTCCTGATAACATAAAATAACTACAAACTTTGACATTTTTTTCAGATCTTTCACTTTAATCTTCCTAATAGTAGAGACTCTGGCTCCCTGTTTTTACTCTGTGACTCCAAAGAGTAGCTTTGTGTGATTTACAGTATTTTATACTGGCCTTGGTTTATCCTCAGTCCGACCCTATGAAACTCCTTGTGGAGCAGACTGTATTGTTTGGAATGAGTGTGATCTTACTGCAGACTTGCACTTACAGAGTAAGAAGAAATAAGTTCCTTGGGTGGAGTTTCCATTTGATTCTGATCAGGCTGGCTTGGGTAAGTGTAATCAAGTTCATCATCATATCTGACATCATACAGGAGGTCAGGATCCATACGCAGGGGGGTCTCTGGGAGTTTTCCAGGGGATGCAATCTCTTCCCGGGTGGTCTCTGTGTGCTTCAGAGGATACTGGCTTGTGGTCTGAGAGATCAGCTGCTCTTCATCTGATTTGAAAAGTGCAGGTGGAAAAATATTAAATATTAATTAATAGCCAATATTCTAAACTGGACAGCTAATGAGTAGTTTACTGACAATTAGGACACAAAAAGCAAACCTTTTCTAGAATTTGGTGGATCTGTGACAACCACATCATTTTCTCTGGGAACCCTAAAGATATCACTGTGTCCAATGGGGTAGATGTTGGTAAACTGGGCCAGCTTCTGGAAGTCTGGGCTCATCAGTATTTTCACCTCACACATGTCAGGCTGCTGGACCTGAATAACACACACAAAAAAAAACAAAAAGGAAAATGCAACAACTTTTTAAAATAAACATACTTAAGCTGCCTCTTTGATGCATATTTTATGCATGAGTCATCAGACTCAAAAGTCTGATGACTCATGGAATTTGGAATTTGACTTGAATGACAAGTCAAATTCTAGAATGCAGTACACAATGGCTACGTTCACACTGCAGGTCTTAATGCTCAATTAAGGATTTGATTTTTTGATCAAATCCGAATTTTTTGTCTGCTTGTTCACACTACAAATAAAATGTGACCGCAAACGCGCTCTAGTGTGAACCCTCAAAGCGGCCCGCATGTGCAAAAGAAGACGTCACACACAACGCACTGTTTAGACCCAGACCAAACAGTATTGTTTGACTGATGGCCCTTAATATAAAGACTTGTTTTGGACTTTACGTTTCTCAATTTTGCTTTAAGTTATAAAGTTATTTTGTTATTTAGATATGGCCTAATAATTATCCTTATTGCTGTTTTAGAGAGGAGCGGTGCTTCAAAGGATAGTTGCAGATTTCTGTCAGAATCTGCAGATTATGCAGTACAAATAAAATATTCACGTTTCTCCAATGCTGTCTTCCAAACAGTTTCACTGGATGGCCAGCAAGCGTTCGCGATGTCTTCTTTAGCGCTGTTAATTGGCGTCTGTCTTGTGTCAGTGATGTAGAAGACGGATTTAATGCGACATGACCGTTCAAACAGCAGTCGCTTTCTAAAACATCAGATATGTATCAGATTCAGTACCACATGCGAAAGTGACCTAGATCAGATTTGAAAATATTGGATTTGTGCTGTTCACACTGTCAAACTGTGATCGGATATGGGTCGCATAGGGTCAAAAAAAGCCCTGTTGTCACCATTATCCAGATTTCACAGTTATAGCAAGGCTGACTGCTCATTCTAAAGTGATCTGTCAATCACAAGCGAACTCCCCGCCCCCATAAAAAAGAAGCTAAGTCTGGCTTGTTTGCTTTTTGTGCATGTTAAAGGGGACCATAATTTACAACATAAACACCAAGTTGCATCCTCTAAGACTCAAAACTAATGACTGGCATCATAATCGTCGGCAAAGTGTTTAATGAGGTCATAGAGCGAGGGACATTTTTCGAGAGACTTTTATAAACTTCTTTTGGCCACCACAATTGCCGCCCCCTGCTGGCCGTTAGAAAGAACCATATCAGGGCCCATTGTTCATTCAGTGGTGCTACTTTCAGTCACTGTGCAAATGTACTGTTTATAAGGTCGGGGAAACCTGCGTTCAGCTGAGACTGAAGGAGTCACTTGGATGAGTGAAAAAACATTTCTCCCACTGAAAACGCTACGTCCACATGAACAGAATCAACTTTTGGGATTTTCACAAATGGTTCACATTTCAGACCTGGAAGCTATGTCCATCCGATTTGGCTGTACTGGAGAAATGAGGAAACACTATTTCCTGTTGCTACATGAACATAAACTGTTTCACTTTGGATTTTTGAATGTGAAAGCAAGTTTTTAAGAGCATCAGCTTTAAACTCTGGCCATGTTTAGTATAAGCAATCACCACCTCTTTAAAGCCACAGAGGCTTGTCCCCACATGATAATTTCAGTCATATTTATTCCAGAGTTATTCTTAACATTAAAAAAAACAAACAAACTGTGAGATTCTGTCAGAGAGCTGTACAATTAGTGTTTACCTCTTTGCCATCCATCTCTATCACTTCACTGAAGACCTGAAGAGCCACCACCTCCTCTGAGTCACTGTATAGCCTGTTCTGGCTCACCATCACCCGGGTAACAGTGGACACTATGTCCCCAGACTCAAACTCACTGCTCCCATTGACACTGTCCACTAAGAAAAACAAACAAAATGTAGCAGAATTAGAGGAATTGGAGGTTGAAATGTCACTGTCAAGAAATCCACAGACTTCCCTTGAAAACAAGAACTGGAGTTGGGTCTAACCAGTCTCTAAAAGACTGGTGGGAGGACCTTGTGCACAACTGAGCAAGAATATAAGAATTTTTACTTCATGGGCTCCAACTGGCAGCTTCAACAGAACAGGCCACATTTCCCACTGTCTGTGCTCATTTGTATGTCTGAATCTTCATCTTTTATTGGCCAGTCTCTGATCTCTCCTGTTTTATGGTTACACTTTAATGAAGCTGCCAGCTAAAGACTTAGGCTTTTTCAGTTGTTGCTTCAACTGCTCAAATGTATTGCTTCTTTAATCAGCAGTACGGTTTTCAGCTATGCTTACTTAATGGAAAATGTCTTCCTATTGATCACTTGGCATTTTTAAAATGATAAACTCACATTAGGAAACATAATGTGGAACCCAGGCACCTGTTTGTCTGTTGGGTAGTCCATTAAAAAACCATTAGTGATTTATGATTGTCTAAAAGTCCATTATCACTGACTTTTCCAATCACTGTAATGTTAATTGACTTTAAAGTGGACTTGTGTTCATTTCCAGATCCATATTTTTCTTATTGAATTTAAGTAGACTATCACAGCATGACTCACAGTTAACCAAATACCAAAATAATCTGTATTTGTCTTATATAGAGCTTGCCCCTTGGTTCATTCTCAAAGTGTTTCAGACCACTTTTATTTAATGTGATTAACCACCATGTGGTTTTTCTTTTCTTTTTTAACAAAAACAATAAGGAAAAGCATAAGAATAAACTACTCTAATCTGATATAGATTTGAAATCATGATTGATTAAACAATACTGAACTCTACTGAATTTACACTGACAATAATATTTACATTTCTAACATTTGAACAGTATATTTTCTTCCAGCTGAGATAAGTGCTTTCCCCTGATTAAAACCACAGTGGTTTGAATAAATGTGTGAAAAACTCACAGAGAAGCGCTTGGCAGTTGAACCTAGTGACCCCCGACAGCTCCACTGGGACGTCATTGACCAGCACCTGCTCTTCACTCACTGATATGTTTAAATTTATCTGCAAAAAGAAAAAAAAATAGACAAAACAAAAAGGCGACTAATTGTCGCAGTTCATACTTACAGAAAACAAACCTTCGGTTACTGAGCAGTTTACACCGAGTACCTGTAAGTTGTTAGAGTCTTGCAGCTGTGTGTCTGCCAGTGTCCCCGCTGTCACATTGATTAGGATGTTTTCCTACGGTGGTCAGTAATTAAAAACGAAAGGATTAGGTTTAACACTGCAATGCTTGTAATTTACAGTACATGTAGCTGTGCTCTATTGCAGGAAGCAGGTTCACTATGGCAACAAGTAAATAAAGAGTTACAGAGAGTTAATCACTGTTTTATATTTGTACTTAACGGCTGTAACCACCTTAAAAAATTGAATGGAGGATTTTATCATTTCTCCCATGAAAAAACATTTCTTAATGAGATTTGCAAAAAAACCTTTTAGTGTTCCCCAGTTTAACCCTTTATAATGTGAACTAATATTTGCTTTCACTAACAAGTGATGTCTCTCTTGCAGCCATAGCAGACATGTTACAGTTAATTGGGTTCATGTTGCACCTGTTTTGAATGCAACTTGAAAAATGCAGGACAAATTTTCAAATCTGTTATGAATGTAAACTTTAACCATTAAAGACAAACATGTTATAAGATATGCCAAAGTTTTTAAAGAGCTCTTTATATTCTGAATTAGACATTTTACTTGCATTGTGGGATTTGGGACAAAATAAGCCACTATGAACTGATCCAAAGCAGGTCCAGACAGAATGAGATGGGAAATGGCTGGATCTGAATTGGATACAGATTTGATCCAGTCTGAATCTGTGATCCTTATGCACTGTGCGAGTTGACTCCAAGGCAGACCTGTTTGCTGATGTTGACAGTGGGATGTTTTTTAATATCATTTAATGACTGAATTTCAGTCCGTGAACACATTTCAACATGATGTGTAATCAGATTATAGTTAGACTTTCTACAGCCTCGTTTTAAAAAGTCACTTTAAAATCTGTTTAGTTCTTAAAATACCAAAACCATTTCAGCCTCCTCTTCACTCACATATTCACATCACCAAGATCTCAACTATGACAGGCATTTTTCCATCAGTGTGACCGATTACACAAATATGGTTGATCACTGATCAGCGTGTTCTGTGTCTAAAGATTTGATTAAAACAGTCAACCTTTTTATTACAGGGAAATAGTCAAGAGTTAGAAAGATGCAGACTAGCCTTTAGAGTTTTTTCTTTGTTGATAATAAATCCGCGTAATCGCTGTATCAGTTGTTGACGACTAAGTGATTATAAAAGCACTCATGCTGGGTACATAAAACAGTAAACTAACGTGTAAATAGGATTTCTGTGTTTGTAAAATGTAAAATTCTGTAAATTAATTCGCTCTGCTATGTGCTATTTGGATGAGGAAATTGAAAAATGTGTTCAGGTGCTGCAGGAAGGGAGGAGTCTGTGGAAGGACGACTTGGTTGACTAAAACTTGCTAGTGAGCAAGGTAAGTTCACAAAGTGTTTCCAAGGTATCCGAGGCTGAGATTACGTTAACTCTCTTTCTGGGAGAAAAAAAAAACTTGGGAATTTCCACTCATCAGGTTTAGCCTCAATTGTTGGCTAAACCTGGTTTCCGGAATAGGGCCCTGGACTCTCAGTAAGCTAATGCTATGATGATCAAGTTAGCTCCATATATTTGCTGCCTCCGTGGCTCTTACCGTATTCAGTTGTCTATTCGACGATTCTGTGCGAGTTGCTGAGACAAAAAGAAGTAATAGAACACAAACTGTCGACCACGTCATTTCCATTTTGAGTTCACTTCCCAGCAGCAACAGCAGCAGGACAGCTAAAACAAAAACATTGAGCACGCAAATGTACTGCGCAGGCGCAGAGTTTCTTCTCGCGAGAAGAGGAACGTCAGCATGGCGGTGCTCCTTGAAACGAGTCTGGGCGATATTGTGATCGATTTGTTTACAGACGAAAGGCCTAAAAGTAAGACTACAAAAATTCTTACTCTTGGTGGTAGCTAATTTCTGTAAGCGGCTGCTGGTTGAGTCACTCACTGGGACGTTAAACTACAGAATTAATGGTTGCTAGCTACCGTCGTTAGCATGTTTGCTTCATATTCGTTTTAGTAACATTAGCCGGTGTTGTGCAAAGTTACCCATACATCGTGTTGCTATAAATACTCTGTTAATAAAGACTTAGTTAATTATAATTACTTTGGCTTAACTTGGACTCTGTGCTCTTTTTCCAGCTTGCTTAAACTTTCTGAAGTTATGCAAGATAAAATACTACAACTACTGCCTCATCCACAATGTGCAGGTAAAGCGAAATGTCCTGTATAAACTTTATGTGGTAGTGAATGGTTCAAATTTGGTTTTCTTTGGGAAGCCTCAAGCAACCCAGAATACGGTATGTAGTAATAGCGGAAGTTGGGTGTAAGTGGTGTTGCATTTGGACCCAGTAATAAGTTAATATGGCAGAATTCAAATTCAATTGAAACTGCATTGTTGCCATAATGGCAAACCAGCATGTAGACGTTACCGTGCAAGAAAGGAAGGTTGGTGTTTCTACTGCTAAGTTTGTTCCCATGCGTTCAGACTTGTTGATTAGTCTAGATTTTAATTTCCTTTTAGTACCTCCTTGCTTGTTAGCCACAACTTGAGACAAATAGTCCTCAGAACTTTATCCATGTTCCATGGCTCACCTTTATCAGCAGGACAAGTCTCTAAATACTCCCAAACAGTTTACTAGTTACACTTGTCTAGCACCTGCATGGTCGTGCATGCAGTGCGTCTCAGTTTTTCTACATGATAAACAAATGTTGTTCTTGTAAATTGAAGATTTTTTTTTTCTGTGAAATTACAGAAAACAAGGTTCTGGTAGCTCATTAACGAGGCTCTCCTGCAATTACTTTCTATAGCAGATAATGAATAAAAGAAGAACTTTTCTGTCATTTAAATGTCTAACTGCCAGTTAGTTACTTTGGTGTAGCATGAATGGCCATGGGGAAGGTCTTTGTAAGCAGGAAAAATACAGTTAAAAGTCCACAATTTATGCCCCTCTTCACATTTTCCAAAGCCAGATCGTATATTTGACAACCCTGCACTAGAGAGATCATATCTTGGCGGGTTTGAGAAAACCTCACTGTTCCCTTGGATGAGCTGGAGTTAGTGGCCGAGGAGTGGGAGGTCTGGGTTTCTCTGCTGCCCATGCAACCCCAATAAGCAGTAGATGGATGGATCACTGGAAGCCTGAACGTCAGAGTATAATTTCATATTAGATTTGTATTTGATATTGTAAAATTAAATGAGAAAAATGTAGTAGCTGAAGTTTTAAAATAACTGGAGTAATTTCATTTCTCATTCCGTCGAGAGTCACCTGTGCGTACTCCAGGTATTGCCGCTATAAAGAGACAAAGTTGCTGCTGTCAGCCTGCAGCAAAGTCTAAAAGAAACCTATCAAATTGACACATGCAGCAGTTTGTCAGTTAGAGTATTTCATTCAGACATCCGTTATTTTAGCTTCTTCTTGATTTAGTTGTGCTGCCACTGCGTAAAGCAAACCCATTGTCAGGGTTTTAATGCTGCTGGACCACCGGGCGTTTGCCTTTGGGTGTCGTCTGCCAATTTTTATTCATATATTTAATCGTATGTAGACTTTTCAGTAGAAACTTTTAACATCTGTAATCTTCTCCATATTTTTTCAGACTCTAATGAAGATTTTGCACTTTTTCTGTCTTTTTCTTCACATTATATGTGTAACATGTCATAACTCTTCATCTTCTTTCCAGAGAGACTTCATCATGCAGGCTGGAGATCCTACTGGCACAGGTCGTGGAGGAGAATCTGTGTATAGGTGAGTCTTATCCGTCTTTTAAGAGGGCAGCAGATTGAGGATGTTGGACAAAAAATAAAGATGCTCTCCATTGTGCCTTATTAGCAAACTGTATGGGGACCAGGCACGCTTTTTTGATCTGGAGAAAATGCCACGCATTAAACACAAGAAGAAGGGGACGGTGTCCATGGTGAACAATGGAAATGATCAGCACGGCTCTCAGGTGAATGAGATGAGCACCCAGTGTTGAGTGCTTTCAGACCAGTAACCACAGAAAAAATACATTATTATTCATCCCCTGTTGGTTAGACCAGATTAGATGATCTATAAACATATTCAACATTCATACAGAAATCATAGATCTGTATGTAATATATATTATAAATACATTTTAAGTAATATTTTGCAAGATTGTTTAACATGAGATACTATATCTAGAGGTATGTTTCTTCCTAGTTTCTAATTACTACTGGCGAGAACCTAGACTATCTGGATGGAGTTCATACAGTGTTTGGGGAAGTGACTGAGGGCATGGACGTCCTGAACAAAATCAATGAGGCCTTTGTTGACAAGGATTTTGTCCCATTCCAAGATATCAGGCGAGTCAAGACAAACTGTATTGCACTTGTTTTATCAACTTGAAGAATAATGTTAATGCTGCGTTCATTATCACTTTAATAAAAAAAAACCTCAGGGAATATTATTATTATTATCATCATTATTATTATTATTACATTTTGCTGTAGGATAAACCACACAGTGATCCTGGACGACCCGTTCGATGACCCTCCTGACCTACCGGTGCCTGATCGATCGCCTGAACCCACCAAGGAGCAGCTGGATGTGAGTATAGGGCCGCAGCTTCAATTAGATAGATGTTCATAGCAAGATCATAAAGCTAAGATAAAAAAGATATCTATCTCATATTTGCGATTCTAATTTTAACAAGTTTAAAGGTCAAACACCTTCTTTAACACATCCTGAACTAGGGCTGGGCCATATTATACCGTTCACGGTAATACCGTATAATGTTAGGCAACGATAGGAAAATGAAATATCGCGATAGAAATGAGTAAAACGCGCATGCGCAGTGCCTTTGTTTTCATACGCACATGGCCGATTGTTGAGTGAAACAGATGAACCAGAATTGGTTTGTAAAAATGGTGCAACTTCAGTGATGTGGAACTGGTTTGGTGTTTGTCCGTCAGATACACGACAAAGCACATTTTTTTGCAGAACATGCAAGCGGCCGTCGGACTAAGATGCTCTTAAATCTGGGAGTAATCTGGGTCCTAAACTCCGTATGCTTCAGGTCAAACAACACTGCAGCATCACTAGAGTTAAAAACTGTCTAAATTCTTTCATCTTTAATAAAACGATCAGCATTGCTGCTTTACCAGGTGTAACTATGAAGTTTAACTTCCAGGCATCCATGAAAACAAAATTTATTACATTTAACGGAGTTAGAAGTTAGCAGGAAGCTAGCGGAAGTTAGCTCGCTAGTTTCGCTAGTTACCTAAGCATGATATAGCATGTTCTGACTGAGAGATTTCTGAAAAAATTCAAACGTACAGCTCTGCTATCACTTCCAACATAAATGAAGACAGGAAACTAAACAGCAGTGACGTTTGTAGGGTTACTGAAGTTGGGCTAGCTGGTATATAATGATGTGCTACGTGATCGCTAGCGACACAGCTATGTTAGCATAACATAAACAGTGAAGCTGGAGGACGAACACTAACACTTTTCCACTTATAAAAGTTAACGTGAAGGTTCCTCATGGTTAGAGACAAATGCAATCGCATGGCAGGATGCTGTAAACGGACCAAACTTCAGTCAGGAGAACAACTGAGATAATCCATCCACAATACGAGGTTAGTCATTAATATACTGCAACAACATGGGAATAGAGCAGCTGCCAGAGAATTCAACATTAATGAATCAATGGTACAGAAGTGGAGGAAGCAAGAAGAATGAGTTTAATAAAGTTTGATTTATCTGACTGCTTTGTTTCGCTTAATGTGCCTTATAATCCCGTGCACCTTATGGTCCGAAAAATACGTACTGCACACTGCAGTTTAATGTTGCAAAGCACCTCTTTTTAACTTCAGTGGATATTATACATGGTTATGCTCAGGATATGTCAGCCCATTTCTACTGGAAATGCCTTTTGGTTAAACTTTCAGCAAGGAATTTGCATTTGCACTGTTACATTTTTATAAAGCTTTAATGTACATAAAAACCAGCTTCTTGTTTAAGTGAAAATAAATGATAGGTTGTCTTTTTGCGCTAGTAATGTTGTGGAGTTGTATTTTGTCTCGCATCAATTATATCGTCAGTTATATCGTTATCGCAAATTTTCAAATATATATCGTGATAAATATTTTTGGCCATATTGCCCTGCTCTATCCTGAACTTTCTTAGGCAGCTTGCTTGTTAAAGTTGTTTAAAAGAATATTGATCTCGATGGACATCAATGTTCTGTTTTGGATGTTGGCTGCCTTCTCTGTCAAGATGACCCCACACTGCCCTGCGGAGTCCAATCCGTGACTGATAGTGTTCTGTTGTGTGTTTTTCTATCTAGGTATGCTTCGACTGCAATGGCAGTGAGTTTGACATCATTGTAATGCTGAAAAATTAAGCTGCTGCCAGTCAGATCCTTTCCAGATGGTTTTTCAGAATCGAACGATACTTTGTTGCGTTCATAATTCGATCAGTTTTGACAAGATCCCCAACACCACTGGCTGAAACTTAACCCCAAACCATGACAGAGCCTTTGCCATGTTTTACAGATGGCTGTAAGCACATGCTTTCTGAATTGTGTAGAAGTAGTACTTGTACACACTGCAGTAAAAGAAGCAGCCAATATGCAAAAAGCACTTTGAACAATCGTCAGAAAGCCAAGAGAACTATTACGCAAAGACCACTTTAAAAATTAGGTCTGGCACCTTGGAAGCAAAATCTAAAGAAATTAGCATGACTTCTGTACAGTACCGTAAGTAAATGTTTCTG